CTTATATACGGCTTATTGAAATATATATGACAGCATCGTGATGAAACCTGCACGTCGAAGAAGTGCACAACCCTCGGAAAACGTGTCAAATCCCCAACCAGCATTGGGCCAGCGTGGCGGACTATGTCCCAAACCCTCGTCTGAAAGGAGACCCGTGCCCAGCAGTGGGTCGTATAAAAGGGTTGATAATGATGACTCTTTGATATTAATCTAATTTGATAAATTGACGTTAACTCTGTACATAAGGAATTAATTGAAATAACCAATATTTCATTTCGCCAAGTGCTCTCCATAAATTTCAAACTCTTTTCTATCTTATTTGTTAAACCTTATATTGCTGATTAATTGTTTATAGTAACTGTATTTCCCAATGGAAATCTACCAGTTTAAAATAATAAACAAATGTTAAGTGAATGGTTCGAAACCTGGCTAATCTCAATCTCAAAAAAAACAACGCTATTTTCTTGGTAAAATAGTTATATTCCAGATGAAGTAAATAAAAAATATTACATTAAATAGACGATATAAACAATAACTTCAGAAAACTTACGCTATTATCTTATAAGTAAAAGCAAATATCTCAACTTAGGTTGTTATTATCACAATTATTACAAAATATAGATTATTTAACGTATTTATTTGAGAAATATTATAACGAACTATGTACCTATTGCGATAATAGTATTGGTCATCCTCGTGCACATATTCACATTCCATCAGATAAGATCGTAAACAAAAGTACTCTTACCTATGCAATAAAAAAATTAAAGATATTTTTAGGTACATATATTTGGGACTATGTGGAGGTAACAGTGAATCGGAGATAATACTTAATTTATTCATTCTAATTGATATGAGATTGAACATACACGTGATACAAAGACACAGTCAAATTCAAAGACAAGTGATCTATAAGAAAATTTAAAAGATAACATAAAAAATAGTAAATTACGAGATAATAGTTACTTTGTTAATATACTATTGATTCTAAATTAATAGAACATACACGTGACACATAGTACTAAGGTACAGTCAAATTTAAAGACATATGGATAAGAATCTAAAACGATAATATTAAAAAAAAGACAGTAAATTACGAGATAATACTTAGTTTGAATACTATTGTGTCCAACATACGTACAAAGTTGGAGCCAAACTTGAAGAATCTAACTTTTGTTTTACAACATAACTACTTAATAAGGACATTTATTGTATATACCCGTTACGAACAAAAACATTATACATAGATATTGTAAATCATGATTTACAATCTCATGCCACGTCAAGCTCGACATTTTGGAGTTTAGGTCGATCTTAACGTAAGCTGAATAGAATTGAATCCAAGTCTTCAGTGTCGTACTCTTGACACTGTACATCATTGGTCCACTAGTTTCATTTCAGTTTGAGTACACATTCGGTTACGAAAAATATGCTGAGGAAAAGCCTATTTAAAAAATATCTTTAAAAGCTATACTACATCAGCTCGTATTCAATTTTTTCCCGTACTAATACGGTTCACCGTGTTTCGGTCGAGCGGCAAGATCACTGGCTTTATTTCAAATATTTTTTTGCAAACGAAATTAAAGCCATTTGAAAAATATATATCGTATAGCATACGATAAAATAAATACGATGTTATAAAAAAAGTGTACTATTTACTTCAGTTGATATTTAAAAAAAAATCATTGCTATAAAATACCTCTTGAATACAGCGGTTTTCTTGTAAAATTTCGAGGCAAGTTTGTGTTTATTTTTCTACCGTGAAAATTTTATATTAATCAGTGTATATATCGAGTTCTTAGGTTTTCGCGATTGTTACACATAGGAAATGAAACTATTTTTCCGTTATTTTGACACCGTCAACCGTGACCATGGGACCTGTAAAGGGCCCGAAACGTCGGTATGTTTGAAAAAACAAATATACGCCATGTAAATCCGGAAAAATCAGTGTACATTCTCAGTTTTTAACCGATTTAAAAAAAGGAGGAGTTTCTCAATTCGACTGTATGTTTTTTTTGAAGTAGGTATGTTACGCGATAACTCCGGTATTTGTGAACCGATTTTCATATTTCATTTTTTTTGTTGTAAAGAGGATACCTCCATAGTGGTCCTATTTCATTGAAGAAAATCATCTACCTCTAAAGGTGGCTGATCACGTATGAACATTCATTTTTATAAATAGCGCCTAAATTTTACTTATGGAGCAATTATTTTGATGGTTGGCTTTGCTATTCTCCAATTGGACATAGTTATGCAAACAAGTGGTTCTTGACCCACACCTCGAGTGAAATTGAGTTATGTATTTAGGTAGAACACCAGTCGTGTTCTTTACCCGCTCTTAAAAGTTCCTGGCAATGTACCAAAACGGAGAAAATAAAAGTCTTTCAGGGTACCAACCCTAAATAAGTAACTTTTTAATAGCTAGAAAGAACCATGCTGTTTAACTTCATATAATGTATTTTTTTAAATATGCTAAATGGATCCATGTCACATGTACTGAAGTACTGCAGATCTTTAGCGTTTTCATTACGAAAACTAGAACATGGTTCTCGTTAACTAAATAAAAAGATACATAATGTTTTCTATTTATTGCTATATAATCTAATAGTTTCCCTATATCATTCCTAATGCTATATATATATGCTATATGCATAACTAACGTTGTTTGTCTCAAATAACTTACCTATTTATTTCTTCACACTGTTTTTACAAAAGTCTAATTATCTCGAAAGCGACATTTTGTGGGTTGGTTCTAGTTTGCATAACTATGTCCAATTCAAGGCGTTTTTCTCTCAATATACTTTGAGTAATGAGAACCGAGTTTTATTATTTTTATGTCAAGTCCTGTATAGTGGCGAACTAGGGGATATTTCAATAAAACTTGGCAAACAGATGTAATTCCGCGTACTTTTGAGGTCGGTTTATTTAGTACTCTGTACTGAGATTATACCTACTATATATTTTTTCCAAAATGATTGATTCAACACTTTCACTGTTGTACCGGATCAACCAAAGCCATTTGAGTTTGTATAGACTCTTAAGCCATAAACAGTGTGGCCTAAACTCTTTTTAGAGAAGGCAATTAAAATGTATGTGGGCTAATTAGTTTATAGGTACAGGGGTATTTGCATAATACTAACAACCTCGCAGTACTATATTGTTAACATCATAAACAACTTTTGTTCCATGACTTTCAATAATTCATCAGATTGTACTTTCGGATAAAAATAAAAATATTTGAATAGATATACGGTGATAACTTTGTGCGTAACAAAATACCAGTCCGATGTAAAACACAGGAGTGGGAGTCATCAGGGAGACGCTTGCACGTTTAAACTTGTAATGGCGCTGCTGGTGCTGGGGGCGTTCTGTCGACTGTAAAATAGCCTGGATAGCAGTAATATAGCCTAGTCCAAGGGTCCTCCGCAGCCCCCGCAGGCTCCAATACGTTTTACTTAGCATGTTTTAGCAGTTGAAAAGACGAAAGTCCGGTTTATAGGAATTTATTCAGTACAACAACAATATTAATATCTTAAAATGTAAACGGTTGAAAAATAAGAAAGTAGATGTTTTAGCTACCGCGATCGCGCAGAGACTCACCGTGGTACGAAGCAAAATGAGAAAGTGAAGGAAGACGGAACAATTTAAATTTAAATACAAGCGAAAGAAAAAATGATACGATACAAGTGGAGAGAGGCGATACAAAAAGGTGGGATGATGGTGTAAGGAGGTTACACCGTCACAAACTTACTACCTTACTACCAAAATACAGATCTAATTAGTAGCAGTAGAGCTCCTTGTGAAAGAGTTCGCCCAAGGAAGTACTGCCACCTTACCTATTTCTGCCGCCAAGCAGTAATGTCAGCATTACTGTGTTTCGGTTTTGAAGGGTAAGTGTGCTGGCGAAATTACAGGCACAGGGGACTTGTCAACTTATGGCTCCGGGTGGCAGGCGCAATGGCAGTGCCCATCCGATCTTTGCGTTTTAAAGCTCTGAGTGGCACTGCAAGATTATGGATATTCGTGTCACGCGCCCACGACTTGTTCGCCCCGTCACTTGGTATTATAAAAATAAAAGAATACAAAAAATTTAAAATGTGTCAGATAGTATGTGTACAACGAAAAGTGAAAAGTTTATTTGTGGCAAGTTTATTATGTTTTTTAAAAAGTAATACAGTCCCGTAAGTTGTTAGTATTTTACAAATTAACCTGTCTACTCTATATGTCTTTACGTTGTAAGTGTCCTTAGACTTCTGGCCGCTTAGCACGTGTACTCATTTACACAAACGACGTACAATTCCATTGTGAGTTGTGTGCGACAATTGTGCATTAGAAACTACAATTATGTTACAAATTATATATGATTACATAATTTAATTTTGTTGTTGTTGTTTATATTCATAAGATTACATTATTAGTTATACATGTCAAATTGAACTTACGTCGCTACTGAAAATAGCATTTGATATGCAGTTATAAATTTGTTCCTTACGAGTATTTCTAATTTAACAAATTATGTGATTGCCCCGATCATCCTTAATCAGTTAAGAGCCCAATACAATTTTAAATTTGTCTTTGTAACATAAAAACACAAGCTACTTAAATCATTCGGTACTTTTTCTACATTTATACTTAATGCGAGGTAATGTAGCTGCTAATAAAATGATCAAATCATACGGCGTCACGCTTATATGTATTATATACTTCTAATACCTACGTATCTATGTCCTGTGGACAGTCCAACTAAACAAAATATCTTAATAACGTTCTGCCCCAAAAGTATTTTCAATGTTTATAACATGAGTGGTTCCATTTAAATTTCTGTGTATTTTATATTCCTGTAAAATCCACTTATCACCTAAACCCTTTTAAAAGCTGGGTGTTATTTACAGGCAACAGTATTTCAAGTACCTAGTGAGTAATACAATATTATAAAGATCAATATCTTGTGTAATAATACGACCATGAGCAAAACTACCTTTCAGGTTTAACACACTTTAGTAAGGCGTTTTTCATGTTGCCACAGTTTGATGGTGGCGCTTCAGAAATGTAGTTTTCTAGCTTTAATTTAATGTTAGAAGGATCAGTGCCGATCTGGTACTCGTCAATACCGCGGTAGATTGCCTGAAACATTAAATTATATAAATGTAAGTGTTTTACTATACATAGGAGAGTTGGGTAGTTTACTGCAAAAAAAATGTTAAAACATTATTTTGTATTCCTTCAAAAATACAAAGTGTTGGTTATGGCATATCCTCTCTTCTTTGCGAGACAAATATAAGGGAACTATAAATTTTAAATCCTCGTAACTCTGTTTCTGGATGAAATCGCTTTTTTATTCTTCAAGCGCAATATCCGGCAATGGTTATGGTATGGTATGGTGTGACGGGCTGGAGACCGAAACTCGACGTTCAGGCTCCGATTTTGCGTGTGGTGGGTACAGGGTCTCCCCTGCCAATCAAGCTCCTCCGGGAATCTCAGCAGCCTCCTGGGTTTGAGGTACTTCGCCCTGTAGTTGTCCACGCCGGAGTATTAAAGTCGGACGTACGCCGCCGATTCCTCCCTCTCCATGCATACTCTGCATAGAGGGCTGTCTGTGATACCTAAATTGAAAAGGTGTTTATTGTATAGGATCACGACCCGTCAGGGCGGCAGTTAGAGTGCGAAGCTCTTGCTTTTCGAGTTTGATTAATTTCCGAGATAGACTGGTGTTGAGCGTTGGAGTGCTTCCCTAAACCTTTTAACGGGGGCAAATGCTTTCGAGAACGGGAAAGCTCGAGGGTTATGTGGGACCCTCCGATGGAAGGCATACCAACTAAAAACCCCCCGGCGCAGCCTCTTGGCCGGATGTTGTAGGCGCTGTAGGATCCCGCAGATTCACCACTACGACGCCCCGGGCCACCTTGGCTTCTGCCAAAGTTCCCGCGCGAAAGAGAGGAGGGTCGGACGCTTGACCCATCCCCTCAGACGGGTGAGACCGTGCGATGCGGGCAAGGGATTCCCGTCTCTTGCCCGCTGGCCTCACGAGGGAATTAGGCGAGCAGCGAACTGGTCTACAAACCGTAAGGGTTATATATATGATTGATCAACCTATAGGTTCTACAGTATCCGTCTCCGATCCATTTCTGGCCAGTTCATTTGCTGCGTCATTGCCGCTGTGTCCTTTAATCCATTGTAGAGTTACGTGGTTGTGTATACATACCTCCATGAGGGCTTCATGGCAGTCATAAATAAGCCCTGAGTTTATGTCATAGCTGTCCAGTGCTTGAAGTACTGACATGTTGTCAGAGAGTATTCGAATGGAGTGATTCTTTACTCTTCTCGCTATGATTGCTCATGCTGCCTTTGATACTCATACATTCAGCCTGAAATACTGTGTTGTGGTCACCAAGTAGTGTTGATATCCTGATATTGAGGTCTTCTGAGAATACACCAGTACCTGTTCCTGAATTTGTTTTTGATCCGTCAGTGAAGACGTGGACCTGTCTGGGGTTGTCCTTTGTTGGGATCTTCAAAGAATTGTATATTGTATTTTTTGTCAAAAATGTATTGTTTTGGGATCCACAACCACACTAGCGGTGCCCGGGGCGCGAAACTGAGCGTGGACGTGCTACTGTGTTGTTAATGTTAAAAATTTAAATATCAGTCTAAAACTGCGTTATTTGCAATAAAATTAGTATCAATTTATTCCTTAACAGATGATCAAAAAGACCACGTATTACATTAATCAATTTTATAATTCATAAATAGAGTAAAGTGGCGAACAAAAGAAGAATTAAATGTTTTAGTTTGAACAGTGTCGGCAATTAGTGAGTAGACTGCCTTCACGGTGCATTGCTCCCATTGACCTATTTATTGGTAGGTCAATGATTGCTCCCAAATAGGTTCAACGACCATAGCTTACCGCAACCTAACTCTCAATTTCGCAGTAACACATTATACGGTAGTGCTGCGACAGTTAGTTGGACTGCGCGGTGACTGGTGAAATCGGTCCGAAGTTCAAATCCCATAAGTGTCTAAAATAAACTTTTTTCTGTTTTTTTTTTGTTTACTGTTGTTATTTTGTTCTACGCGACAATACGCGAGAATATCTGAAATAAAGTTGAAGAGGTATAATTGACGAACCTACGCCACCAGGCGGCAAGTAGTATTATCCCTGGTTTGTAATTGACAATCGACAAATTAGCGCCACCTAGCAACAAGTAGCAGCGGGAAAACCTGGTTTTTTTTAAAATACAGTTTTTGCAATACCTGGAGTATACTGATAACAATTATGAACATTAACCGGGACCATGATAATGAGCCACAACGAGTTAAATTTTTATGCTGTGTAGTATGTGAACAATACTATCACCTAGACTGTACAGATGTTTTATTCCAGATCTTCAATAAAATGAAATCGAAAACTTTTAAATGTCGATCGTGTACAAACTCACACCATTTTCACAGCACTCCAATTAACCACCACCATGAAGACAATATTACGCAACACAGGAAACCAAATGTTCAGTGCAATTTACCCACCAGCAATTCATTCGAGTTATTGTCAGAAGATGATGATGAAGATCACAAAATTCCATCAAAATTATCCACCACATACTCATATTCGTCGCTACCCAACATATCTACTCAACGCAAAAATATAAGCTCTCCGTCACTACAAGTAAACAGTGACATAATAGAGGACTTGAAGGAAAAAATCCGTACACTATAGGAAAAACTTGAAACAAAATGAACTGGATAATCAATTACCAGAAAATCATGTCTTAGAAAAAAAAATTATCGAATACGAACATAAAGTTGCAAAACTGTCACACATTTGCCAATCAACGCATAAACCAAACTATACATGTATTAGAATCAAAACGAAAAGCTACAAAAAGCAGAACTTGACAAATCACGACAAATCCCGTATGGCCAGAGGAACCGAGTGGATTCTATTTTGGCGCGTGGTAAAAAAGAAAAAAAAAGCAACGAGAGCAATAAATCGATTACAAGCCACCATAATTTTACTCACCCTCCGTCAGATGTCACTGGTAATCCGAATAAAGATAAACCCGATATAGGAACCTCAATAAAGCCAAAATTTGTGCTCTTAGCTCCAATAAATAAAATGAGACTCTCTCTACCTTAGAAAATACACTGACTGATCACTACCAGATTATTGTGACCGTCAGGATGGCTGGTCGCCTGTGGCGCTTGGCACTGAGTGTATATTCAAGAATTGCTATTATAACTATTTGCTACTATTTGCTACCTGTTCTAAATAATTGCTACCTATGATATATTCTGAGAAATTTTAAAAAATGTTTGACCAGCCATTCTGACGTCAGGTTGGCTGGTCGCCTCTTTGTTCAGCATAAAGGGAGCAGATTTTCCAGAAGTATGTATTACCAATAATTGCTACCTATTTGCTACCTTCACGAATTAAAGGTATACGCTTCATATCCACATTAATTAAAAAAATATAACCGATTGAAAATTTTGCGAAAAAGTGCCTGATTAAACTAAAGAAGCAAAAGTTTTTAGTGCTTTATTGCCATAATATACAGGCGTTCAACAATTACTTCGAGGCGAACTAGTCTGGTAAGATTGCTAATGTATAAAACCGAGACGGTAGGTAACCATCATAACGCAATATTAACAAAGAATTTAGTTGTAATTATATATTTGTTAAAAAAATTATATAGTTTTAATTATCTAACAAAAGTATGAACAAAATCTTTGTCGTAGTTCGTTACAGTGCACTTACACAGGGCTATTTTATGCGCAGGCCAGTTAATTATAATTTTTGTGTTAGCCTCACATTCTTTGCAATTTCCATTGTACGTTATTTTATCATTCTCAGAAATAGAATACTGTTTACATATCCAACTGTGTGCAATGGGATGAACCTCCCAAATCTTTTCGCGCAAAAGATGGGCGCACTGTTGCTTAGGCAAGCGATGTTTCATTCTAAATACAGTCTCAGGTCCATGATTTAACTTTATACGTTTACTTAACGGTTGCATTCGTTCCCACTGATAGGTATCAATAATAAAATTATAAATTACTGTTTTACTGACTACTACTTCGTCCTTGTATTCCTTTTTTGATTGATTATCATTAGACATAATTTTGTTTTAATCTTCATAACGAACAGCAGGATTATCAGGGCCACTGAAGAAAAGTCGAAATTTTTCTTTACAGAAAGATATAGTGCCTGTGTGGAAATTTTATGTGATAAAATTTCACTAAACAGTGGATCGTTAGGCGGCGCTAAATCAGATTTACTGGAAAAATACTTTTTTTTTGCAGTAATGCATTTTTTGCTCATCGAGTGGCTCAACAAACTTCCTCCCTCTTTTCATTGTCACCACCACCACTTTGATCCACTTATGGCAAATGACACACATATTGCGTTATGATGGTTACCTACCTTCTCGGTTTTATAAATCAGCAACCTCACCAGACTAGTCTGCCCTTTATATTATGGCAATAAAGAACTAAAAACGTTTGCTTTTTTAGTTTAGTCAGGCTTTTCGTATCGGTTATATTTTTTTAACTAATTTAGATATGAAGCGTATACCTTTAATTCGACAGGTAGCAAATAGGTAGCAATTATTGGTAATACATACTTCTGGAAAATCTGCTCCCTTCATGCTGAACAAAGAGGCGACCAGCCATCCTGACGTCAGAATGGCTGGGGAAAATTTTTTTTTTAATTTCTCAGAATATATCATAGGTAGCAAATATTTAGAAAACGTAGCAAATAGTAGTAAATAGATAGCAATTCTTGAATATATACTCAGTGCCAGACGCCACAGGCGACCAGCCATCCTGACGGTCACAGATTATTCATTACTTAAAACCGCAATGCGGATTAAAAGAACTCCTACAGGGTATTGCAACCAAGGTGGAAAACTTCACATTTAGGGACTACTGCATTGTATTTATCAGTGATGAGGATTTTATAAGCTCCAAGAACTATTTTAAGTTGCTCACCTATATTAAAGAAGCCCTACAGATAATTCAACGCACCAATATTATACTGTGCCTTCCAACCTATAGATTTAATATTCATATCTTCAACTGGCGAGTGGAGAACTTCAGTAACATGCTGTACTGGGATCCAGAGATACAAGAGTATGCATATTTACTGGATACCAATTTTAACTTGGAATACAATCATCATATGTATCGCGCCTACTCTGGGCTCATTAAGCCTAAAGCACTACGTACCATCACTAAAGATCTGAAGAGGCTGATCTTACTTATCACAAAACACCACATGACATATCCGTGTAACAATTCTAATTGTAATGATAATGCATTTTTTCGTCAAGATATGTTAGAAGCCCCAAATATCGCCACAAGGTAAAAAAATATAAAGACCGTTAGTATAAAGAATGCCCTGGCTCAATTTCAAAGCCCTATATTGGCAATCACAGAAACAAACCTCGACGATAGTGTTTATGATACTGAAATATTTCCGACTAACTGTGCTGTCCTACGGCGGGACAGACCCGAAGGGAAGGGCGGCGATGTGCTGCTTGTCGTACGCCAGCCCTATAGCGTCCAACGTATTCTTTATGACTGCACACCGGAAGACGAGATTGTTGCTGAATTTATACACAACTAAAGTATGTAACTGTGTTTACATGAATAAAATTGAAAACAATATTAAGCTCAACCCGAATACATTTTGGTCTCATATAAAATCAAACAAACCGTCGAGCGACCTCACTGTGTTTGGTATGTCCAATCCATAGGAAGTCGCAGACAATTTTGCGACATTCTTTCGAAGCGTGTATCTAGCGTCGGCTCCCGCATTAAATCCTGATGATGCCTTCGCTGCCGTGCCTGCGGCGATTCCCGAATCGTGCCAATACCTGACCGAGCTATATAACTTTGGAACATGTAACTGACTCTGACGTATACACCGCGATGAAACAATTATAGCCTAAGCTAACTCAAGGAACAGACGGAATTCCGCAAGTAATAGTAAAGGATTGCAGTGAAACATTTACTAGGCCGTTACTTTATATTATAAATTTGTCCATAAATCATAATACATATCCTAGAGTCTGGAAATCTTCAAAAGTTCTACCTATTAAGTCACGTTCAAAATCCGAAATTAAAAATGATCGTGCAGTAGCTGTCTTATCGGCTTTTGCAAAGGTTATGGAAACCATTATGTACAAGTTGATTCACGAACAACTTCGGGGATGGTTCTGTGATCAACAGCATGGATTTTTGCCGGGCCGCCTACTGCTTCAAATTTGATTAACATTACTACCACTATTGGTGATGAGTTGGACTCCAAAAAGCAAGTCGACGTAGCTTACTTGGACTTTCAGAAGGGTTTCGATCAGATTTATTGTGATATTCTGCTTCGGAAATTAGTTTTTACTTTCCCAGTAAACTTGGCCACATTTTTTGCTGACTATTTGGCAAACCGTCAGCAATACGTGCTTTACAACCGGTGTCAATCCCAACCGTATACGGTTACCTCTGTTGTGGGTCAGGGGAGTTGCCTGGGACCACTCATGTTCTTGATTGTAGTTAATGACCTGCCGCTAACTGTCCGACACAGCAAGTGCCTCATGTTTGCTGATGACGTCAAATTGGCCATGACCATTAAGTTGGAGGCTGACTGTGTCCTCCTCCTAAAGGACATTGACAACGTCTTTGGCTGGGGCAATGACAACAGTCTACGCTTAAACGCACACACTCAACTTACGCACACACTCAACAGCACTTGGGAAAACCCTGTGTCGCGGGTGCCATGGACACACACATAGATAACCACAAATCACACCCAAACTCACGAAAGAAATAAATGTAGGTCATACAAATATTTCTCCCGGCCCGGGAATCGAACCTAAGACCTCTGCGTGGCAGTCCGGCATGGTAACCGTTCGGCCACGGAGGCAGCAGACGTATAAACGTTGACAAATGTACCACTGTATCGTTTACGCGCACTCGCAAACAAATAGACAATACTTACAAAACAAAAGATACTTACATCAGGCGGGCTACATCTGTCAAGGATTTGGGTACATGGTTCGATGCCGAGCTGACTTTCCGGAAACATATCTCAAAATTAAATAAATCTGCGCGTATGTGTCTCGGCTTTCACATGAGACAATCAAGATCGTTTAAAAATGAGCTCACATCTCGTCTTTTGTATAATAGTTTTGTTCGTAGCAAGCCAGAAACTAACGCCATCATTTGGAATCCCATTCATTACAATCACATATCGACGTTAGAGAAAATTCAGAAGTCCTTTGTTTGTAGCCTTTATAGAAAGATTTACGGTTATAACCCTTTAAATCACCCCACCACTTTTATTTTGGGTATGGTCGGCTACAGAACGCTGGAAGTAAGACGCAAACGCTCTTATGACCATATACATATGTCGCTTGGTGCGTGGAATCTTGTACAATCCATTCATACTATCCATGATAGGCTTTTTGGTGCCTAGGACCTACAACCTGGTGCGGCCTCATATAAGAAGGCTGTTTGAAATACCTTCTACACGTTCTAGGGTAAGTGATCTGGCTCCTTTGCCCCGCCCGGTTAAGTACTTCAATCAGATGCTTATCTTTGACTCCTCTTTGGACCTCTTTGCATGCTCAGAAGCCCATTTGACAGTTCCCGCGAGACGATATCTCGAGTCATGGACCAGAGACAGCAGCATCATATAAGTATTGTGCATCACGAATCATTAATACTATGTTAATGTTTTAAAATTTGATTGTTAATAATGTACTTGCGATGTATTCAATTCCATGGTTTGTCTATTTTGTTATTAGGAGGGGTCGCAGGTCCAGCATCGCTTCGAGGGCTGCAGTTGGAGTCGTCCTTATGCAGTCAGTCGATAAATTTACCCAGCTTGTCGGTTGCGGTTAGTTTCGATAAGAGTCCCCATTGTTTACCTACCATTCTATGTCACTGTTAGAAAGTGATTGTAGCATTGATCTAGTTGTCCAGTGCCTCTACCATGAGATTATAGTGACAGTTCTCGCTAGTGGCGCTATAAAATTTGCCATACAAAATGGTGAAGTAATTTACGCGGTCGCTAGCGGCAACTGTCAAACTAATCTCGTGGTACAGGCACAGGTGCTTGCTCCAATTCATCTTGTACAATATTATAGTCCCCCACCAGTGTTGGCCGTGCCGCGGGGCCGAGTCTGTCAGTGGGCATGCGGAATCGTAACTGCTCAATATGTTTGATGTCAATTCTTGGACCTGTGTTTCTATGTTGTAGGGCTCTGGTTAAGCTTGTTAATGTAAATTTTCCTATCGGTTTTTCGGGGGTTCCGTTTCAGGGGGTTTACTCTCGATATCCGTCAGACATCCGTCCGAAACAATTACTGTCAAATAAGTAATATTCGACAAAATTAAAAGACAAGTATCCAGTATGAAACTTCATTCGCATCACGCGTCTTTTCATTTGGTCAAGTATTGCTTATTTGGCAGTAATTGTTTCGGACGGATGTCGGACGGAGATCGAGAGTAGACCCCCAGTTGTTGCACTTGGTGGCTGTTTTTAAGCTGAATCTTATCATCTGTGCTCACACTGTGACACATGTTAGTTCAGGACAAGATTTACTGCTCCTTCTGACGCTAGGGTTAGGTCTATAATAGATCTACATCTTGTATTTACAAAAGTTGGTAGGTAATGTACCGTTAGTAAGGATTTGAAGGTTAGTTGTGAATATCGGGCAATTAAAGCTTATAACATAATTTGTGGACACTATTTTGGTTATAAAATAAAGGGGTGATCATAGATTGTCATATGCTTATTATTTTATAATTCTGATTTTTGTTCCTACTCAAAGGTTCACAGTAATGGTGTGACTAGTTTCACGAATTTAGCTGACATAAGTATCAACAGATAATTTACACGGTACAGTAAGATATAACAGATTGGTGACCGCAACTCGAAGTCCACGCGCCTATTACAAGTTTACTATTATATATTAATAATAATAATAATTTTATAATATTTAGGAATCATGGTAAGTTGAACTACCTTGAAAGCTGGCTGCTTTTCATTGTGGAAAGCTCATAACAAAATACATTTGTAAAATTAAAGATGATGTATTAATAATCAAATATGCCAAGAAATGTATATGTACTTACTACTCCCTCCTGAATTTGAGCTACATTATCAGACACATCATTGTAAAATATTAAATGTTGGCAAGCTACTCTGGTAACCTTAATGTCACCATTTCAAGGCAATGTTGATCTTTGAGATAATAATAATATGTTTGTATTGTTACATAAAAGATAAATATTCTTCCCAATAATATCTTATTGCTCTACTAGCTTAATTTGGGAATCATAGTTAAATGAGTTACCTTGAAAGCAGGCTGCTTCTCATTGTGGAAAGCTCGTCGACTACCGTGCAGGAGAAAAACACCGTGTTTCGTCGCGTCGTGACACGCGTCACCGTACATGCACTGGTCTGACCGGTAGTTGTACCGACACGACATCTCCATCACAGCAGCCGGGTGATGGTGGAATATTATGTTTATTATATCCTGGAATAACAGAGGTAATAGTGATGGCACTAGTGATATTAGCGAGAGCTCGGAATTGAAAATATAGTGGTATTTGTGTTTACACAAGAATTTATGGTTGTATTTGTGGTTTTTATTTGAATGGCACACCACTACATAATGCAATTCCAAGCTCTCACTCATCACTATTTTATTAAAATAAGCTTAGTTGCAGCACGGACTTCCAGATATTGACTTGGAGGCTTATTTTTAACAGTTTTAAGGCTACTTAAGATTGTACCGAGAGAAACATTTATAAAATGAAAATGGCCCATGGATTATAAATTAACACAATATTTATGAAATGGTGACTAATATTCCTTACTACCACTACTGATACTACTAATATTACTTTCATGATATTTATATAATAGGTGCATAGAGCAGTCAGCTTCACAGGACATTAAAACAACATTATGTGTAGACAAACAGTTCGCAAATACATAGCTGCAATAGAATCAAGAACATTGGCCTTAAACTTAAGTACAGCTAAATAAAAAATATAATAACCTGATCACCCCATGGAATGTACAGTTTCCATCTGAGCATAATTGGAGTGACATATTCGGTCCAGCCAAAATCTCTCATTCTAGACAAGTTCATCAACATAACTCCTGAGTTTAGACCTAAAAATATCCAAAAACTGTGGATAAGAACCGGGAATAAAATCTGTGTTTTTATATAACAGTGCCTTATTTTTTACTATTAAAATTTTACTTGTCTAAGAATAACTCTTAACAGTTACAAAACATATATACGTACATATATATATATATACGTATATATACGTTATTCAAATTTAATAAATAAAAATTAACATAGACACACTCAATAAAAAAAATCTGTCTAAATATTATATGATTGACAAACCAGGTTATTTAACAGATTCTAAGAAGTAAAAACTTACTATAAGAAGTTAATAAAAAGTAGAATATTACCCAAGTTCCCATAAAAAGGATGTTTAGCAAAACGAGGATACCATGAAAGGCTGGGATTTTCATGCTCCAGAGACATAGCAGACATTTGTGAGGAATTGAATTTTGAAAATAAGCTCCATAATTCATCAGCTGGACCTAAGAACACAGTGTCAGTGTCCACATATATAAGGGCATCATGATGAGATATTAATTTCTGAAAAAAATGTAATAACTTCAAACCATAAACAAAATAAACATTCAGTGCATTGAGAACTGTAAGCATTTTCTTCTATCTATTGCACATCAAGGAGACGCAGTGTACAAATTGTATGAGAAAGTGAGTAAGAACAGGCCTTGGAGTAAATTATAAAATAGAAGCAAATAGAATAAAATATTATATGTACTTACTGGAATAAATAATCTTTGTGCTGCACATTTACTAAATAAATTGAGCCAGTCCTGCTTATTGGCCCCAGGAAAATTGATATTTTGTAGTTCGAAATTCAACTGGAAATTGGTCAGTATCCTCCAACCGCTTAGAGTCTTATTAAACAGAGGTCGCAACACTTCGTCGGAAAAAATTACAAAGTGTAACGGAGTTTTCGTAAACAATAGCGCCGACTTTATTACGTTTAAGGACTCATTGAATCTTGAATCACACACTACGAATGATAACACTATCTTTTCTGGGCGAGTTCTGGAAATAAGCAGAAAAAAGGGGGAGCAAATTAGCGCCTTGGTTTGTTTGTTGTGCTTAAAACTAACCTCAAAAAAGTTCCTTCTTACATTGCAATAACACATTTAAATATGTAGCTACAAAAATAAAGAGATCTTGGAGTATTTTCTAACAGCTCTATAAATCTAAAAGTATTGCAAGGGAAACAATGCGAAAATTACTTACTTTCCCAAAGTCAATTGGCTACCGTTATTATTGGTAAAATTGACTACATTCTTGTCCGTTATTATAAAATAAATATATATTGCAGTAAAACTAAAGAACAAAATGAACATACACAATTTACATCTTCTCATCTTGTAAAAACTGTTCTATGGTGGATGTGCATTTTATAAAAACTTTGGAAACTGTTTTTAAGTGTTTTTTAATGTGAGCTTTTTTGTATCATTCATTAGAAGATTGGACGACGAAATAAAAAGTACAACATTACATAGTACGTACAGCTGCCGTAGCAGTGTCTCTTTCTCTCTATTGGATTGATATTGGGTATACATACTGCAGAGCACGACACGATTGTGATGAATGAAACGAACATTATCGTCTGTGGCATAGATCATACATTACAGTTCTGTGGGATGACAGCTGTCAGCTGTTCAAAATGTCAAACAACATCGGAATTCATGGCGCAAGGCATCAAGGCCATCGGTTACGTTTCCGATCAATTTGTGAAAAAGAAACAAAACCGCTCACGACGAAAATAACTAATAATGGTTGTCGGTGCGTTTCCCATCGCCAAATTATCTGTATTGTTAATCAAACAGATAAGTAAACCTATAGCAAATATTTGTAAGGAAAGGGCCAAAAATAGTCCTTTCTTTCGTACTTATGTGTGTATGCCACCAGCCCAATGTAAGTATTTCTTTGCATACTAAATCCTACGTCCTGAAAAATTTAAACATTCATGGTGATTCGATGATGTCGTTTTAATACAATAATATCCTTGGTCGACAGTTTACAACTGGTGTGAGGTGAAGGCAAAGATGTGGATCTTGAATTTGGGTAGACCTGTAAACATTCCGGTACTGAGCCAGGAGATGGCCATTGAACTGGGAGCCAATCTGCTTGGTGAAAGTGTTATTTTTATTATTGGTGCTGGATTGCTTATTATTGAATATAACAGGTAAAATTTTCTCAAAGCCGTGTAACAAACATATCACATACAAAATTTAAAAAGGTAGTTTTACTCTGTCATGTGTGGCTTTAGGATGCTACAGCATCAAAATTGTTAGCGCCACCATTTGTATCTAGGGCTTGTAATAGTAACCTGTCATCAAATAGGAATGTTTTAAATTAGCTTATTTCACTTTATTACTGTTCTTGCAGGCAAAGTAAAAAAGAAGCAGCAAAAGAAATGAAGAGAATGGACGAACTAAATTACATGACAAGTACTATAACTGACCTATACTTCACTGTGCAACAACAACAGACACAGCTGAGAGAGATTGAGAGAATAATTATTTCTATGGGTAAGTAAACATTATTGAAATGCTACATTTGATTCCCATATGGCATTATGATGTGTACTTGAAATAAGTGTATAATAGAGACAAATGGTCCAATATTTGTCAAACTTTATTTTGCAGGTGGCCCAGCACCAACAACTCCACATCCAGAGATTAAGCCCCCAACAGAGCAACCCCCACCTATCACACCACCTCCAACAACAACAGAAGTGCCCCCAACTCCTCCCCCACTCCAACCAAAAGTGGCTTCAACTAATTATGTTAAAACGCCTACCCCTTATCCAAATAAGGGAATAATTCTCCAATCTCTTAATTATATACAAATGGATGTATTTAGTTCCATGTTTGCTAACAACAATGTAAAAAATGCTCCAGTAGAAGGCAAACCAGTGGCCAGTTACAAACGTGAAAAAGCTCTCCTCTCAGAAGCACTTTGCAGCTTAGAAAACAATTTTAGAAGTTTATTTTGAAGTATTAAATCATGTTCATAAGTATTTAATATGGGATTGTTTCAAGGTAGTGCTTGTGGTATTAGATGTTGGGTTGCAGTATAAGAATTTTGAAAAATGTTTATTTTCGATATTTTATTTTTTCAATAACACTAACTGCCAGGGAGTTTGTCCTTAACACATTTTGTGATGTTATTTTATTCTTATTTTGTGTAAAAATAATAATAAGCACAGTATATAAAACATCCTCATGTTTTAAAGTGTAAAAGCATGATGGTAATTTTTTTTAAACATTTAATTCAAGCATTTGTAAATTGACTATTCATGATTTTTACCAATTTGGTAAAATAAAAATGTAACCAGTCGAAAAGTTCTTAACCTAGTCTATTTAGCTGAATGAAGAAGTGTACTTTCACAAAGATGTAATTATTTTTAGGTGATAGTGTAAATAAATTATACTCATTTATTGCATTTGTTATTACTCAAGAAAAACACTAACTTTTTTAAATAGATTATATTTCCAACCATTCATTCATATAAACACATGTTTGTGGAGTAATGAGTCCTGTGGAACAACACTTGTGAATGAGTGGACAAATACCACAGGGCACCTGTACTAAGCCAGGGGGTGGCAAGAGTGATTCTATGGCACGATATACTTTGCTGCCATCTGGGTATACACTGCTTTCAGCTTTGCCATCATAAACTAATGTATTTAAAATTGTTATCACATCTTCTACTTCAAGTTTCACCTGTAAAGAATGTATCATTATTTGCATGCCTTATTGATGGATGATGACCCTGAAGGTCATCATAATCAAGTTTTTAATTCATCAAGCCATTTATATGTCCTACTGCTGGGCACAGTTCTCACAGGTGTAAGGGTTTGTTTGTTTACTTACCAGTAACAAATAACCTGCTGGGATTTTTTTAATTTTCATTAGTCATCACTGGCAACAACTGCAATTTTTTATCCCATTTGTCACCATCTGGCAACCTGGGGTTTTTTTGCCCATTTGTCACCAGTGGGAACAAAGCCAGTGGTAACGTCTGGGAATAAGAGGTTTTCTAGGGATTGTGAAACTTCTTTAACGTGCAGGCTTCATCACAATGTTTTCCTTCACCAAAAAGCTCATGGTAAATTTCAAATGAAATGTGGTTCTTATTAAAGAATTATCTCAGAATTATCTGAGAAACATAGTGCAAGCCTGGTTTCGAACCTACGGCCTCTGTTGGAGTGGTGGTAGGTCAAACCATTAGGCTACCACATCTTATTTTTAATTACTAAGCAGAAAACTTAATAGTGGTATAATCATAAAAGGCACCGCCAGTAACTGAAAAGTACAGAATCAAGTTTTTAAAATTTGACTAGTCATGTTAACAAATCTTAAATTTGTTGTTAGTTATAAATGATTGTAAAACCTGTAACTAGTGATAATCATTTTTAGTTTAAAACTTACATTACTTATGCCTAAATCAGTAATATACTTTTGGACCTCAACAGCGGTTGCATAAGATTGTGTGCGGCCAACTATTGGTCCTCTGGGATTATTCTTCATTTTATCAGCTCTCTGCTGCAGAAACCTCAGGCATTGTTTGTTAAGGATGTCTACAAATTCTGATTCAAAATCCTGGTCTTGATACCATGCTCCTCCAGATATAGATCTATCTGGTTCTAAATTATAAAGCATGTATACTTTCTTTTTTGATGCCTGAAACAAACATTCACAATTAAACCCTTCAAATTATCTATGTGTGCTAATTTCTTTAGGTTGTGGGGTATTTGATATTCATGACCCAGAAAATATATAAACATATAATGCAGTAACAATACGACATGTTAAAAGTCAACAAGAAAAATACTCACATTCACACATTTCACAGCTTTAATAAGCTTTTTACTTTCTAAGCTTTTCAACACCTTGTTAAGCTGTGTGTTGGCCAAATTAGATCGAATTCTAATATCTCTTATCCATATGCCTTTGTTCCCTGCTTCTTCTATTAAATTGTATACTACTTTCTCTTCATTATCTGCTCCTTTAACTGCCTGTTTGCTTGACTGTGCTTTAAACCTACAATAAAAAAGTAGAACATTTAAAAAATTTGAGGTATCGACGTAGGAGTAGACCTCGAGCTTAAAGACGTTTATATAAGTACGTAGAGAATATAATAAATAATCTTACTTGTAAATTAAAGATCCGTCTTTATTAAACAAATCCAAACATCCTTGCTGCAACAGCTTGTTTATTGCAGAGACAAGATCAGCTGTAGAAAGGTCTGGCATCGCAGCTTTTATTTCCTTGTCAGATATACCCTTAGGATATTTCTTTGCGATATCTACGATTTTTTCTTTAAGTGCTTCTTCTGAATTATTTTCACCCATTTTTAATGGCAAAATAAATTGAGTTATAGTGACACCATCAACGCGTTTTGTACAGGTATTTTGTTTTGTGGTTACGTTCACAAATTAGAAAATATAGTTATGTTTATGTCAAGACGCACAGACTACCCAAGTTGTAATCATAGATTTAGTATTTACACTAAATCTATGGTTGTAATGCAATGTGAAATACAGTTTCCTTTCATTCTATGATTTAAAAGTTTCCCCGTCAATCAAATCGGCAATACGATCATTAGTAGTTTGTGAATACGATGTAAGTGGCTGAAACGCTAGTCGCGAAAAGCCAAGAGAATTATGAAAAAAAGGACAGGCGGCCGTTCGTTCCATGATTAATAATTTGAATAATTATAACTTTTTGTCGGTTTTTGTTAAAAAAGTCCTCGATGTGGAGTTAATAGAAAGTGGCGTCTCTTATTCCAGAGTGATAATGGTTGAATTTTTAAAATTGGACTAGCCAGATAAAAAGTCGCTATTTAGTCGGTCCAACGTTCAAAAGTTATAAGGGCGTTTTACACTTACTTACTTTTAAACTTATTCCAGCGCGCTGGAACCACCGCACAAGCACTGGCACCATTTCTCAATCTCGAGAACCGTAACACTTAGTGGGTGAAATTCAATAAACCAGATTCATCCTCTAATTTTTTTCTCTCTTAAAGGTGGTATATTTTCTTCAAATTTGAATGGGACTACTATTGAGAAGCCCTTTTTCCCCAAAGAATCATTGAAATCGGTTGAAATATCGAAGTAATCCCGTAACATACACAAAAAAGCGATCGAGTAGAGAACCTCCTTTTTATTAGTCGGTTGAAAACCTCAGCACTTCAAACTTATTGTAAATTACTTCCAACATTTGTAACAACCTTGACTTACAGTTTAGAATGTTAAATAGTTTCATATAATTTCTAACTTTGAAAAAAAATAAATAAAAATAAAATCATCTCTCTTATTAATCTATCTATCTATCTAAGGAAATTATAAGTATATGGTATAAATGAAATAATAATACTGTTATAAAATGTGTGTAATAATCTAAATTTCATCATATTTGAATTGTGTAATACTTTCTTTAGTAGGAAAACTTGATCGCAGTATAAACATGTTGTTAACTTCTGGAGTTAAGTCTAATGTTTCTAAGTAACCAAACCAGTATATTACTAGTCCAGGACCAAATCTATTCCAATAACAAGTGAGTTGATCTTTAAGGTATCCCGCGTGATTTTCTTCATCACCAAATAGAGCTTTACTCTCCACCCAATGTACGATGAAACCATCAACAGCTATTGGTACATCCAGTTTGAAATCAGGAGTTTTGTCATAACCATGTGACCGTAGCACATTCTCATCAGAGAATGTTATGTTCATAGACCTTAAATATTGTTCTAGTCTCAGCTCATATTCCAATCCAATTGACCTGCAATAAATTCAATGAGTAAATGCATACACACCATGTAATCAGTACTTTTCTGTATTCAATAAAACATAATAACAAATGCTAAAAGGAATTACTATTTTCATTCGAACAAGTTCAATACACTTAAAAAGAAACACTTACTGCTTTATTACATCTGCATAAGGACCATATTGGTTATCATTCATAATGCCCTGTAAAAGAAAAATATTTACATTTACTATAGATGAGAGATGACTAATTGTAACTCGAAATCTGCCTGTTCCAAAATAAGTTTATCACAAGGAATCCAGTATTAATGTAAAATAACTGCAAGTAAGTCTGTAAAGGTCTTACGACCTGCAGGCATCACTGTCTTTACCTTTTCACAAAAGATAGCAATAAGAAATATGTGGGTAGTTATGATAAGCTATGTATATTTAGTAGCAGTAGAGCTCCTTGTGAAAATGTTCATCCAGGGAAGTACTGCTACCTTACCTATTTCTGCCGCCAAGCAGTCTGCCGCAGTGAGCATTTCTGCATTCCAGTATAGAAGGGTAAGGGTGATGGTGAAATCACAGGCACATGGGACCTGACAACTTATATCCCAGGGTGACAGCGCAGTGGCAGTGTCCATAAGAATCTTTGAGATTAAAAGTTCTGAATGGCACTGCAACTATTTGGTGCACAACTTGTTCATCCGGTCACATGGTATAATAAAACAAAGTAATAAGCTTACCAAAAATACTTCATAAGCCAGGTCAGGGTCTTCAATGAGAGAGGTGTCTTTGAAACATTTCTTGGCCATTGTAGAGTCTGAATACACATTTTGCAAAAGTGATCGAGCTATGAGAGCTGGACTTATGCCTTGATTTTCTGATAACCTAGTATGTGAAAACAAATCTTGTTAAAAATGAAATTATTTAATATATTTATAGAAAATGATATTAATATATTTGGATTAGGAGTGTTACTTACTTCATAATAACATTGCCTTTATTTTTACCATTCATCAAGGTCTCATATAAGTCATAATACTTGCTGGCAATCGAGGGTGACTTCCTGTAGCTTGCTTTCATAGATCTTTGGACTAGTTGCGAAATTATGCTTCCTAGTGTAGATGCAGGTAAACTGAAAGACAGATGAATTGCAAGCTAAGTGGATCTCCACTAGTATCTACTACAATGAAATTTACGACATTATGAATCTAAAGCAATGGAAAGACACAAAAAGACTCACTGTTTATATTTCTTCTTCAGCTCATTTTCAGATTTACGACTAAAAGATGCAAGTTTCTTGAAATCTTCGACTATGGCATTGTAAACTTCTACTTTCATGGGCTTAATTGATTGCGACATTTTTAATGTCACTTCTTCCAACAAAGTAACTGAAAAATAAGTAGATATATAAGCAGCCACCAACGTAGCTACCTTCAAGTTTCTATAAGAAAGCAGATTATTATTGTAAATGTATTCTGTAAGATCCGTACGTAAAGAAGTGATTTCGAATCTCGATTTTAAAATAGGTAGCTGATAATCAAGTAGGATGTTGATATAATTTTTGGAAGTAGTCTCAGTCGCTAATCAGAAGGAAACTCTTCACTACTACTCCTGCTATATCTTCCTAATTTATGCTCTGCACCGATTTTTAGCTCAAGAAACGAAATTTTTTTCGAAAACCTTTTTTCTTCTTGAGTTGGCTTATTGGCTTCTCACGAAAATCCGTGGTTTTGTTTGATTTTTGATTGTGTTAATTTTTTTTTAATTTATCGAGGCTTTGGCGAAGCCATTAGCTAAACGATGACTTGTGTAAAAACGTGTGTATAGTATTAAAATACAATAACTCGTGTTTTATACCGAATTATAATAAAAAGTTCTTTCTTGATAATGACCTTCAATATCAGATTTTATAAGGATTCGCTCTGGACCTTTTGGAGGGAAGTGTCGTTTTTATTTTGACTTTTTATTTTCAATTATTTTGTGAAATCTAGTTTAAAATGGAATAGGATAGTGCTATTGTGCTTTAATCGAAGATTAAAACGCGAAATTATACGAATCTCGAACTAGAATACCCGTATCGGCCCAAATTGCCTATTGCGGCGGCCATATTTACAGAAACATAATTAAACTTCATGTTTAGGATGTTTGATTTGGCAAAGCCTTAATAAATTAAAAAAAATCTCATTTTATAAAAAAAAATGTCCCATAGCGTACTGTTTTATTGTTAACTTTCATTACTGAACATTTACCGTCACGTTAATTTGCAATTGTAGAGTTCTAGAGTACGACCCTAAGGGTCGTATTCCAGAAGTCTACTCAATGCTCAAGTCAGGATTGCACTGGAAACATAAGCACTGGAAATACGACCCTAATGGCAGGGACTTGAGTATGATTTCGAGTGCTTTAAACCATACTGAAATCCTGACTTGAGCATTGAGTAGAGTTCTAGAATACGACCCTTGATGTAAGACCGCTACCCACTACGAAGTATTTTACGGTGAGTTACAGTGTTATGCTCAAAAACAGATACAGTATAATTATAATTGTTACTTAAATTTTAGTGTAAGCTTAGAATTAGTCTTATGCTGCAAGCAAACACGCGTTTGATTGCGAATGCCCTGGAGTATTGTCTAGTCAATACTGCGCGGGAATTACCTTATCCCGCAGTGCGAGTTGAAACGTTGTGTACACAAGGACCTATGTCGAATTGTATGACTCAAAATTATTTCGCTTTCAAAATATTTTTTAAGATTTATGCGCGATTTAGTAGATTTAATAGTTGGTAATGCTGAAAGTAAGTACATCTTATTTTTAGTATAAATATATTTTATTGTAATTTTTGCGTAAATAGGTTTAAATTTTCTGGTATAGGTTAAATCTTGAAAGTGATTCATCATTTCTATCAGTAGTTGAAATGAATTGACTTTTTTTTGTAAGTGGACATTTTAGAGCAATACCGTGATAAAATACAGTCAACAAAAAAATTCCGACAAATCTTTTTGTTATATTATTAATTATTAATTAATAAGTAATGTTATGTGGTTATTCCTTTTTAGGTGAAGAAGACCGTGCGTCTTTGCGTTTGTCGAGGTACATAAGCTTTTGCTTAAAAACGAAATCAATAATTATTTTCGGCTCATTTCTAAGGTTATACACCACGATTCGCCGGTGTCTGATCAAGGAATACACCACGAAATCCCCGAATTGGGGTTGGATAGTCGCGCTACCCTTACACAAATTCAAGAAAAGCTTCTGTTAAAATATGAAAAAGTTCCTGTGCCAATCCAATCAGTGGGTTCTGTTAACAATATATCGAACAGCTTCTTACAAATTGGCCATGAATCAACTCTGCAAACACCTCCATGTCAAAACTACAAATTAGGTTCTCATTCGAGTGATGTCTGTCTACACAGCGAGAGGGCTGTCTCTTTCTACTGACCCGAGAGATAGGGAGTTCCGGAGAGAAGGGCTCCCCGGTAATACCAGAGTAGATAGATCACTTTACATAATTACACTTACGTGATTCCGCAATCTCAGGAAATATTGTACTATTTTGATGCAAAAATCATAAAAAACCTTATTTTGAACACAAATAAAAATTTCTTCATAAATTTTGTAATAAAAAAAAACAAAAAAAACTTATTCTTTAAATAAAGTAATCTTTGTGGGTATCAGTCATTCCACCGCACAGTCGTAGTCGGTACCTACAATGGTTTTGTATTTTTAATTCTCAATACCCATTCTCATTCTCATTACTCATTATAGTACGTACCGACTGTGTAATGGGATGACTGATACTGACAAAGGTTACCTTAGTTAACGATAATTTTCATGTAGTATTTTTTTTATTTGTAAGAGGTGTCACATTACATTATGATAACATTTTTCTATTTGATTTTTGTTTAAAGCAGACCACGGAATGTGAACTAGTTTTTTGTTTTATTGTAATAAATGTCGCCAAAAGTAAGTGTGAGGCCAGACGAGCGTAATTTTGTGAGTTGCGTTTTTTTGCGCTCGACCGCAAGACGGTTGGAGCGCCAGACGAACGTATTTTATTCACTTGCTTTTAAGCGTTTATACGGGGTGTTTGTGTCGTACCTACTAGTGTAATGGATCCATTAAAAATAATAATTATATATAAACATATATATAATACATATATATAATGCTTGTATATAATATATATATATATATATATTATATAAGTTTATGTGAACATCCAGATCAATTTGTTAAGTACTACTACATGCCAATAAATGTTTTTAAGAATTATTAAGTCTAGTAAAACCTTTTATTACTAGGTCAGATACAAATATGAGACAAGCCATCAGTCCAGAGGAAAGTCTAATAATAACAATCAAGTAAGTTGTTCAATTATTTATATTTTAATCTCCGTATCGAACATTTTCGCAAGAAACGTCTATACCACAGAAGTCTATAGCCATGCGCATCCTATACCAAAGTCATAAATACCCATACCTCCACCCGCGCCAGCCCGACACCCGATGCGACCGAAAGTCAGTCGTCGTCGTATGAAACAAACCGTACTTATATATGAAACCGAATGCAGCGCAACCTGCGCAACTCAAAAAACACAACTCATAACTCACAAAATTACGCTCGTCTGGCCTCACACTAAGGCCACGGGCCGTGGGAAGCCGCCTTTACAAAACCAGTTTAAATTAATTTAAGAACAAATCAAATATTTTTTTGTGTCATAGATACTTTACCGTTTGTTTGTTTTGAACACTATACTAATTAATTCACATTTTCTACCACATTGTACCGCTGAATTGAATACAGCATCGTCAACATTTCTAACGACATCGTTAATTAGTATTATTAAAACTAATATTTATACAAATAACTCTTATATCATAAGAGTATGATACCAATTACAAAAAAGCAAAAAAGGACCGCCAAATCAAAGGTCGTTGCGTTTTTCCTTTTCAGATTTTTCGTAAGTAGTAAAAGTAGTTAATAACTAAATACAAATCACAACAATTACCTGATTCTCGCCACTAGGCGCAAGGTACCTATTTTAAATATTCTAGATAGGATATTTTTCTTCATGAAAACATTGTTTTATTCCGGAAAAATAGTTTATTTTTTATTTATTTTTGAATTTTATTTATTATTTTTTATTTTTTTATATCCGGAAAAATAGTTTCATTTCCTATTATTTTATTGTCAAAACTCAGTAATAGTGGTTTCAAAGATTTAAAAAAAGTTGCTTGTCTCACATGGGAATCGAACCGAACTGGCTGAATGTGAAAAAAACCGTACCTACTGATTTTGGGAATCGAACCGAACTGGCTGAATGTGAAAAAAACCGTACTGATTTTTATGATGCCGATCGAAAGGATCAATTATAATTTATAATTTCTTTTAAAAGAACGCAGTACCTTCATTAAAGAAACACAAACATAAAGTATATACTTTAATTAGTTGATATACCTAAGGAATTAATCCATAAATTTGATTATATCTATTAACATCATAAAAATATTGGTGTTTTCGACATATACCTAGATTTCATCACGACGATGTTTTCCTTCACCGAAAAGCTCATAGTAAATTTAAAAACGCACATAAATTCCAAAAAACTCACGAGGCGCCCGCATACGAAACAACAGCCTCTGTTTGAGAGGCGGTAGGTCAAACTATTAGGCTGTCATGTTGTTTTATTACTATACCGAACTTTTGAGGTCGGTTTCTTAGTACTCTGTACTGCGATTATCTTTGATCTTGCTCACTCCTAGCTAGCGTCCGAAATACATTTTAACAGTTCGCTACACTAATCAGTGCGTGGTGTTTAGTGCTTACAACACCAATATTGAAAAAATATGGTTTGGTATTATAGTCGTTCACGAGACTACTATTTTTTTATGATATCAAACGACAGGTCGAACAAGTCGTGCGCCTGGTCGCTTAGTCCCATGTGCATGTACTCGTAGCTTCTCCAGCACCTTTACTTTTCGAAAGAAATAGGAATGGTGGCAGTATTTCCCTAAACGAACTCTTCCACAAAGAGCTATACTACGAGATCTTAACTCCGGGTAGACAGATATGTTGCTTAGTTATGCTACTTATCCTCAAAACTGTTGGTTAACCTCTGAAATGTCGAGAGAACAACAAAAAAGTTATACAAAGACAAAAACCTATAACTAGTGGTAAGGTAATGAACATAGGAATAATTACGATAAATAGACTTCTTAATTACAATAAATAAACGATTTAATAAACTTAAGGAGCACAGTTATTGTCACAAGATGAAATTCGAAGTAGACGCCATGGATGCCAATTAAAACTTAGGTACATGTTACAGTAGAGTTCTACAGGGCGCAACTTGCGTGAAAGCGATATAAAGCGCGAAACACTGCCATACTCGCATAGAGATTTCGCGTTTTATGTCGCTCTCGCGCAAGTCACGCCTTGCCGTGCTAGCCTATTGGTACCTATTTGTCACTCGGTACAAAGTCTATCGTAGTAACAGATTTTATATATCGAAACCAATCACGACATGGCTGTCAGAGTACAAATTTTAATGTTTTATCTTATCTAAAAATTATTTTAATAAATAACGTTGTTGACGTTCTTACAATTCACCATTAATCGATTAACGACCGAGATTTGATGATAAAAATAGATTTAGAGATAAACTTATGAATAAAACTCGGCTTTAGAGCCGAACCCCAATCAGGAAAGTCTAAAATGAAGCAGCTGCTAGTCCTTTTTGCCGTCGTCATCGTCGTCGCTAGTGGTGAGTGACAAACTGAGATATTTTCTTGCTTGTTTACACTACTCTAATCCCAACCCCCTCCACCATCTTCAGTACATACAATATGTTCTTGAGCTTCTGATGAGAACGATACAATGTCCAAAGTGTCAAGCTTCATGTGTTCTTGACTATATCTACTTGTGAAGTAATGATCTTTTACTCTTTTTGACAAAAACTTCTGTACTTTGACGACCCTAAGATCGTGAAAGTATGAAGGAAAAATGCAATTCAATTTATAACAAACATGTAGAATAAAATCTGATCGACCGCTTATTCAATTGTCCATCATATTCACTATTTTTCCAATAAATTTGAGGCGTCATAACATAACTCATAATTTATTTCTTTCTAAATATAAAAAAAGTCTTAAAATGCAGTATTTATTTTTAATTCATCTAAAGTCAATATCTATTAAAATATTGTAAGATAGTGTTTTTTATCACCACATGTTTTCACATGAAAGCTGCACCTCCTCACTAATGTTTCTATTATTTACACTTGCTTTCTATTCGGTATAGTAGGAGGTATTTATTTAAAAATTGAAAATTCTGTCGGTGGCAATAATGACACGTCAAATTTATTTAGTAATGCAATTTAGAATGTTATTCCTATACATATTTAAAGTACATGCTTTCTATTATATCCATTTCAATAATAGGTTTGTTAACGAATCGTAATTTACTTAAAAATTATAAACGAAAGCAAACACTATGTTTCTTTCAAGTGTAAATGTGGTTATTTTTGACAGTACACTTCAATTGGACGTAGTCATAATAAAAAGATCCAAGTCACACTTAGGGAAAAAAGGCTTAAGTATACCACGTGATTCACCGTAGCCTATTCTTTAATGCCAGAAAGACTCGTGTCGATATCTCTAATATTGGCGAAATTCTAAGTATGAAGTAATGTTATTAATGAACGATCCAGGTGTCCTGGACTCTCATTCAACAACACATGACATGATCTACTTGAGTATGAATCGTTCTTAAAAATACTAAACTATGAAATATGATGGCCAATAAGATTCAAATAAACTTGAATCATTTTGTTTTTGTTGTTTCTTTTGTAACAAAAATGCTCCAAAGTAACTTGCATAAAAAAAATTATTAAAAATATTATTAAATTTAAAATCTTGAAACAACAGGATTCAAAGTAACTTGGATCGTTTTGGTTTCATAATTTTTTTAACAAGGACAGAATGTTCCACTTACGTTTAACATAATTACTTGGATCATATTGGCTATTTTTAACGGCAAAGTCAAACTATCCATTTGACTTTGGATCATTCTTACTAAACTGGCTCCGTGGCCGAACGGTTACCATGTCGAACTGCCACGCAAAGGTCCCAGATTCAATTCCCGGGCCGGGAGAAATATTTGTATGGCCTACATTACTTCTCTCGAGAGTTTGGGTGTAATTTGTGGTTGTCTATGTGTGTGTCCATGGCACCCGCCACACAGGGTTTCCCTAGCGTTATTATTATTATTACGTTGGTCTTTATAATATCCATATTTTCTTCGATTCTGTTTTTACAGATAAATGGATATTATAAAGACATGCAAGAAAGCAAACCCATTAAAAGTAATGCGAATGAAATCAGATAGGTTCTTGGGAACTGTACACATAGAAAAAGGGTTTTAAGGATTTAGGGATTTTAGGGATTAATCGAAAAGTGTTCAAAAATAAGAAAAAATAAAATGTCTTGCTACAAGAGAAATTTTCCTGAAAAAATATGTAAAATATTTGATTTATATGCGAACAAATTTTGAGGAAAATTATTAGGTACTTAGCATACAGAAAACAATGAGAGGTAAGCGAGAGGGAGCGGTCGTTCCTCATATTAACATAACAATTGATAGTTTAACGCCACTACGGTCAGGCGATAACTGAGGCTAACCTCAATAACATCATGCGTGGCATGGCGGTATATCGTATGCGATAATGATAAACATCCCCGCATATTTATCGCAGTCGATTTCTCCTCGCCATTTTCCAATAATCACATGGCTTCCAATGACAAGTTATTGTATGTATGAGTAGAAGGTGAGGCAGGTGGGAAGCACAGGAAGTTGGCTCGTGTCTATTATGGTATATTAATAACGAATTGGTGGTGGGCATCGAAGACCTTATACTAGGCAGTGATTCACGAGGAGGTCATAGTAGGAATATTAAATTGGTATTGATGCTAAAAATGGCTCTGGACACCGACTTTAAAATAGATTCGCTGTCGCTATTTGGAACTTGGGCATAAATTTTTGCCCAATGATACAGATTTATGAAAAATTGAAGTAGCTTGAAACACGTCTGACGTCTTTACACAATCGAAGAATTATGGATATTATGAAAACGTGTACAAAAGCAAACCCATTAAAAGTAATGCGAGGATTTTTGGGAACTGTAGGTACAAATAGAAAAGGATATAATGAATCGAAAAGTGTTCGAAAATAAGGGCTCTTGTTGATGTGGCTGAAATTGTATTAATAATTTAACAATATCATATCATTAAAACCCAATTTCATAAAGCATAGACCAAGAATTTATTGCGAATGTTGGAAAATCTCGTGAGACTTGAGGGATAAATAAATAAGTCATGTTTTTTTTAACAGAGTAATTCTTGAAGCAAATGTGAAGAAAAAAAGTGAGGGGGAAATTTTTTTTTTAAATATATTGTAATGCATCCGAATAATGTCAAAAAATTGCATTTTTCGCGAAAAATCTGGGTTAAGTAAGCAATTTTTATTGCTGTAGAAAATGGTAAAGTTATGTTGGAATGCAGTGTTATTATAGTTCAAAACATAGGACAGTTCACCGAGATTTCTTAAAATTCTTAAAAATGCAATTATATTCATTTAATTAAAATAAAACAATTAATATACACTTTTTGCACATTATGGATTATTTTTGCAAAATGAAAAATAATCGCAAAAGCTTTTTTGCTACACAAAATGAAAATTATTCAAATCCTATTTTTAAAAAAACTACCTTAATCATTAATTCACGAAATGTTTGGTAATTGAAGTGAAACTATATAGTGAAAACTTTAATTTGACGACAAAATGAAGATCGGTTGAGAATTCTAGCAGCAGTTAAAATTTTTTTCGAAAACTTTAACTTCTATTTTCTCGAAACTTACCATTTGTGATTTGGATCTTTTTATTATAACTACGTCCAATTAGGCTCTGTATCATGATATGACATTCACTTATTCACTATTTAAATTCTCACTACTTCTCACCAGCTGATAGCAAAGAATTCTCACGAAGATTTTGTAATTATCCGGGTAATTTAATATGACATGGGGAAAATGAAGCTTGCCAGTAGCCAAAAAGTATTTCCGATCTAAAATTGAGCAATACCTACTCCTAGGAAATGAAACTATTTTTCCGGATTTAAATCGCGTATATTTGTTTTTTCAAACAAACCGACGTTTCGGGCCCTTTACAGGTCCCATGGTCACGGTTGACTGAGGTGGTACAGTCTTCAACCAGTTATGTCTAATATTAATGCAAACCACCCTATTTTTTCACTATAGTTACAATAGTTATTAATTAAATACCTTATTTTTAATTTTACAAAGAAAACATTCCAATTTACGCTACATTAAGTTTTACAAATTATTTTATTGAATGAATTTTTATTAAGTTTAATTTATTATTAATTATTAATAGAAATTAGGATAAACTAAAACATATTAATTAGTACTGCAGTCTTATGTCTGTTTGGGATTTTTCATTAGAGGAAATACTGGATCCCAAACTAGTGGTACGGAGAAACCATCTTCCCTGTTGAAATTAGGATGTTTTTTAATTTCAATGGCCTCTCGCAGCATCCTGGGTAGATAACGGACTTCTTTTGCAAGGACCTGGGGTTTGTCAAACTTTATTGAATGTGTAGGTTTATCCATGACATGCTCGCAGACTGCAGACTTGTTTACGCGACGGTGTTTGACATCAGCTATATGTTCTTTGACGCGGGTACAAATATTTCGCTTTGTTTGTCCAATATAAGAGAGACCGCACTCACAGTCAAGCTTGTAAACTCCTGCATCCTGTAAGGGGATTTTACATTTCACGGGTCTCAGGAACTGAGAAATCTTCCTCAGGGGCTTGAAATAGGTCTTGATAGATGCACGCCTGAGGACTCTTCCGATCTTGTCTGTAACACCTCTCACATAAGGTAAGATGGCAGGTCTTCGCTCGTCTGTTGGTGGTTTCACACGGGGTCTGCGGCGTTGGCGTGGAATCCTCAACTTATTCGCATGTAGGACTTGCTTTATATGCTGAAGTTCCCCCGCCAGGTGATTACTGTCGCAGACACCATATGCTCTCTGAAACAAAGATTTGCCCACGGTAGCTAACTGGCTAGGATGGTGATGGGAATTACCATTGAGGTACCTATCTGTATGGGTTTTCTTTCGAAATACAGTATGGCCTAGGGTGTTATTAGGATTTCTTTTAATTAAAACATCTAAGAAAGCTAAAGTACCACAATTCTCTTGTTCCATAGTAAATTGGATCTTAGTACTAAAAGAATTAAGATGGTCCAAGAAAGAAGGTATGCTATCTTTAGGTAATATTGTGAAAGTATCATCAACGTACCGTTTGAAAATCTTCGGCCTAGCTGGGGCCATGGGTAAAACTCGCTCCTCGAAGTCTTCCATGAAAATATCGGCAACAACGGGAGATACCGGGGAGCCCATCGCTATACCGTCAATTTGTAGGTAGAATTCATTATTCCACAATAGATAGCCTGATGTTAGGCAGTGTTCTAATAATTCTGCATATTCAATGGACATATTATGTTCCCTTAGCTTCCTACGTACAATTTCAATGCAGTCTTTTACTGGTAGGTTGGTAAACAGCGACTGAACATCAAAACTGACCATGGTGTCATCATCAGTTAACCGTAGATCTTTGATTCCACTGATGAAATGGTATGAATCCTTCACATGTGTGGAAGTGTTCCCTCTCAATGGTGACAGTACCTTTGCCATGTGTTGAGCCAGTTTGTAGGTTGGTGTGTCAATCTGGCTAACTATGGGACGGAGTGGGGTGTCAGCCTTATGTATTTTTGGTAACCCATACAGTTTTGGTGGTTTCACGGCGCAGGGCACAAACGCACTTACATCAAGTTTCAGCGTATCGGAGTGCTTAGATATTAAGTTAGTTGTTGTTTTTAATATCTTGGTGGTAGGGTCTTTCTTCACCTTTTTATACGTGCTTTCATCTGATAGTAAGTCAGTTATTTTGCTGTTATAATCTGACGTATTCATGACCACCGTCGCGTTACCTTTATCTGCACGGAGGATGACTAATTCAGGATCTTCGCGGAAGGTCTTCAGCGCGTTATATTCATCTCGAGTAAGATTCGGTCTGGGCTGTTTATTTGAACGCAATATTGACGAAACGTCTTGGCGTATTGCCTCCAAATCTTCCTTTCTCATGTTGTTTTTAACTAGACAATCCTCACGCCTAATTTCTATTAATAATTAATAATAAATTAAACTTAATAAAAATTCATTCAATAAAATAATTTGTAAAACTTAATGTAGCGTAAATTGGAATGTTTTCTTTGTAAAATTAAAAATAAGGTATTTAATTAATAACTATTGTAACTATAGTGAAAAAATAGGGTGGTTTGCATTAATATTAGACATAACTGGTTGAAGACTGTACCACCTCAGTCAACCGTGACCATGGGACCTGTAAAGGGCCCGAAACGTCGGTTTGTTTGAAAAAACAAATATACGCGATTTAAATCCGGAAAAATAGTTTCATTTCCTATGTGTAACAATCGCGAAAACCTAAGAACTCGATAAATACCTACTCCTCTTAATAAACATTATAGCTTTATAATTTGTGCACTAAACCCGGACGTTTTGCGTTTTGATCCGAGTCCTCTAACATTTTATTACTTTACACTATTTATTTTTTTATTACATTTATTTTTTGTTACAGTGGAGAGGAAAGGCGGACTTCGTGGTGAGTTGAGAACATACAAAAATTAAAATTCTTTCATATGTAGTTAACATAATTAACTGCCTACGTGGCTGAACGGTTACCATACCGGACTGCCACGCAGAGGTCCCCGGGTTCGATTCCCGGGTCGGGAGAAATATTTGTACGGCCTACATTTATTTCTCTCGTGAGTTTGGGTGTAATTTGTGGTTGTCTATGTATGTGTCCATGGCACCCGCGACACAGGGTTTCCCTAGTGCCGGGCTATGTTGAGTGTGTGCGTTATTATTATTATAAAAAAAAAAAAAAAATAAAAAAATAATACATATGTAGATTTTTTTGTTTTATACTTTTTATGTGTACTTTTATCAAATCCTTCTTCAAAATATGCCTTTCTCTATCATGTAGGTAGGTAGATAGGTACTTACTTTAAATGCACTAACAGACTTCTATGATAGACAACTTATCACACTACATAACTACCATTTCTTCTAGCTAAGTTCGCCGTTGGATTGGGTATTGGCAGAGACTTCTTCTTTGAAGTCCCGGAAACCATCAGCGATGCCAGGGAGCAGGGATGGATAAGGGAAGAACGTCCAGCAAACCAACATCTACCCACCCTACAGCTCTACTGTGCTAATCCTACGGTGCTCTGCGTGCTCTATGAACCTGACACTGAGAACGCAGCTGGCCTTCAAATCGGTGTAAGTGTTTTTGCATCTTTGTAAATAATATGCTGAATTTATTTTTAGTGCAGTCAGTTCCTTTATTCAAATAATTCATACATACCTTAGTGATGAATTTATAAATATAGAAAAGAAAATATTCACAGGTAAATAGAGACAGATTCACTGGAGCTCCATTCGATTTCGCCGTTCAAGGGTGGACTGAGTGGATTTCATCGAGCGGTGTCGCCTACTGGACTATTGCGGAATACTTTGTTGATGAAGGTACAAAAAAAAAACAAAAAAAAAACAATTCAAGTGTAAAATCCGTACCTATTCATAACTTAACTAAGTATTAATTACATGCAAACCAAATTTTTTGAACAGCGTACTTGGAAATCGATGCTCAAGAGCGTATTGCAAACCGTAACAGCAACTCAATACTACAACTCGACGGTATCTGGGTGACTGGCTTCAACAAGGAAATCTACAAGATCCCTGGCAGCTCTTCTGATATAGAAGCAGCCGGCTTTACAAAGCAACTCTGCATGCCCTGGATGGGTGAGTGCTAAAGTCAGTGTTAGAGTGTTACCTGCTGTGAATATAACTAGATGCCAAATTAAATAGATTCAGGCGTTACTTTGCGGAAATCCATCTTAATGAAAACAGAAGTAAATTGCGCTTGTGTTGAATATTTTTTCATGCTGTTAATTCTCCCTGCAGTGTTATTATGCAGTGCTTTTCATGCAGTGTTATTAATTTTACGCGGAGGAAGGATCCCTCCGCGTAAAATTAACAACACAACTACAGTCGAAGAAAACTTCGGCCGAGAGTCGAAAATTAACAACTCCCGAGGATGCCTCGTAGAGTAGTGAAACATATTGTCGAATATATTTTGGTGGTGGTGTTTGTGACTGAAGTAAATTGCAAATTAATTTACTTCCAAATAAATCCCAAGTAGAAGAAAGAACATTAAACTCTTATGAAGGGAATAAAAGTATCCTGTATTTTCCATCCTATCCTAATTTATTTTGTATTCGACATCTTTAAAATATGATTAAATCACACAACCCGTCAACAAATTTAATCTGATTAAAGATAATATCAAAATAAGTGTTTGATTGTTATTACGTTGATAGCACTTATTTACTTAAAAAATGTGTTATATCGTATAATACTATTGTACAATATTAATCGTTATAATCTCAGTACAGAGTACTAAAAAAACCGACCTCAAAAGTACGTGGAATTACGTCTATTTGCTAAGTTTTATTGAAATATCCCCTAGTTCGCCACTATACAGGACTTGACACTGGAGATAATAATCGGTTCTCACTACTCAAAGTATATTGAGAAAAACGCCTTGAATTGGAGAAATAGCAAAATCAACCATTAAAATAATTGCTCCTAAATTAAAGTAAGGCGCTATTTATAAAAATGAATCTTCATGTATATGTAGTCACCCTTAAAGGTGGATGATTTTCTTCAAAATGAAATGGGACCATTATGGAAGTATCCCCTTTCCAACAAAAAAAGAGAACGTACAATCGAATTGAGAACCTCCTCCTTTTTTGAAGTCGGTTAACAATTAGTAGCAGTAGAACTCCTTGTGAAAGAGTTCGTCCAGGGAAGTACTGCCACCTTACCTATTTCTGCCGCCGAGCAGTGATGTCAGCCTTACTGCGTTCCGGTTAAGAAGGGTTAAGGGCGCTGGTGAAATTACAGGCACATGGGACTTATCAACTTATGTCTCAGGGTGATGGGCGCAATAGCAGTGCCCATAAGATCTTTGCGATTTAAAGCTCTGAGTGGCACTGCAACTGTCACGGACAGGCGTCACTTGGTGTTATAAAAAAAAACTTACATATCGTCTGTGCTGTGGCCTGACTAGCAAATACTATGAAATCATACAAACGTAATTTCGGATTTGCACTTCACACCTTGGCTCGTGTCAAGCTCGTTCTTTTAATCAGTTATATTCGTAATTAAAAAAGTTAAAAAAAAAAGAGACGCATACCGAATGTTCGTTTTTCAAGAATAGTATTCTCAGTTTCTAGTGAGGACAGGGATGATGTTACATAAAAATATAGCACGTTTCTAGATTTGTTTAATGTACCTACCTATACGTTCAGGACAACACTACTACTACAACATAACCAAGGAATCAGAGTGCTCTGCCGAATCCATCTTCCCGTGGTTCCCTTTGTATGATCATGGACGACTGATCGGCATGGGTATGAACGTATTTGGACACTTGGAAAGAATCGACGGCGAGAGAGACTGGTTTGAAGCACCAGGCAGGAGAGGAGTTGAGGTAAGTGATAAATTATTGAAATGGAAGACTGATTTAACAATGTTGGTTTTTGGTACATACAATAGGTAGCAGACCTATGGAAACACACGCGGCACTACTTAGTAAATTAATATCTTCACAGTTGAATGTTCATTAGCGAAACAGGAATCTCAGACAGGTTTTACTAATTTTTAAAAGTTGCACTTACTAATATTTAAATGTTTCTGTTCTACAGGTGATTGTAAACAATGGCCCACAATGCCTGTACGACCTGGCTGAGAGCGCCGACATCCTCACCATGCATACCTACTTTGTCGCGAAACCGCAGCTAGTCTTATGTATTTAAAACGTAAAATCTTTCCTGATTGTTTTGCATCCAGTCTCATAGCACTTCAAATGTACTAACACAAATCAGTTTAGCACAAAAATTTTATCAAAACATAGTAGGTAGATTAAATACAAAGAAAAAACCAAAATAATAATAAAATATTTATTGCAATCAACTTACACCAATTGGGGCTTTATTTGAACGCTTCTTAACCTTTTGCTGACGCCGTTTAAGGTGCCTCTGAATGCGGCCAGTACCTTTCTTCTTTAATTCCTCATACTGTTTCACAAGGGCCTCCACTCGACTTTCAGCTGTAAATAGATTGTTCTTTTAACATAATGTTTCTGATTATTAAAAAAATGTGACGGCAATAACCCAAAATACTTCATGGCTTGGTAAAAATGTGTAAAACTAACATTTATTTTTGAAATGTGGATGCTTTCCTGTTTGAAAGTCCTGTTCGACCTGTGACCTTTGCTTCTGCTGTTTCTGTCGTTCTTCTTTCTGCTTCTTACTAGCCTTGTATTGATCATTCAGCCTTTGCAGCAACCGCCGCAGTTTTTTCTCCTGTTCAGGATCTGTAACCTTCTTCAGCTCAGCTCTAATAGTCTTGATATCTTTCGTACGAATGTCTGACAGGAAATTGTAGTTCTCAGCAAATTGCTTTTTATCAAACTCGCCGCATAATGGATCAAATCTGTAATTAAGACCGGAATATTTTTTGCCTATGATAAAATAAATTTGTTGACAATAATTAACCTTTTTACAACCATTGGAAATCAATACATTTTTCCCTAATTTATAAGTGACCCGTCGATTTGTGTAAGTATATTTTGATCGCGCGATTGCTTGGTAGTGGAAACTGATAAGTTTCAATATGTACACCCTGGTCGCGATATCAGTTTCATCTACTATTTAATGTTTACTTTTGTCGCATTCGATGATAAGGATGGCCAAAACGCACACATAAACGTTGAAGATTTGAAGGGTAAAGGTGCTGGTAAATTACAAGCACCATGGACCTTGACAACTTATGTCTCAGGCTGACGGGCGTAATGCAATGCAGTGTCTATCAAATCTTTGCGATTTAAAGCTCCTGATCGGTACTGCAACTTCTTCTTGGCGTGTCGACTCTGACGTTTATGCATATTTGTGAGGACCAGTTATTGTAACAGTGGACAGGCGTGTCGCTTACCACTAGGCGCATGACTTGTTCGTTCCGTCACTAAGTATCATAAAAAAATATCTGTTTCCACTACCATGAGATCGCGCGATCAAAGTATACTAATCCTTCAATTTCACTAACTTTTCTCGAACACTTTCATTCCCTAACCTACAGTTAGGATCCCTATGCGAGAATAACAGTATCACACGCTTTATGTCGCTCTCGCGCAAGTCACGAATACTCACGACCTGTCGTGCTAGCCCTATTGTTCCCTAACGTTCCTTGATTTTCTTAATTTTCTTTGTAATGTGTACACCAAAGCCATCTAATTAAGCCACCTCAAATTAGATTAAATGTGTATTATTGCTTAGACAAGCTGAATACTAGAAACAAAAAAATTTTGAAGACATAATAACGTAGCATGTATGTATAGATGTAAAAGATAAAACCAGACATGCAAACTATGATATCAGTGCCTCCAATGAAAAACGAAATAACTCAAAATCGACACTTTTCAGGAGAGGCACAAAACCACACCTTTATTGTTTATTCGTTTATTATTAGTACTTTTTATGATTTCTAGCTTTAGGTATATATCTAAACTTTTGTTTGATGGGTATTGGTTAAACATTCAATCATATTTTCTATATTTTTTTAAAGTTTTTTTCGACTTTCGTCCTTATTTATGAGTGCTTAACGGTAATAAGACTTATGTTAACAAACTTTAACACATAAAACGACTTATTTCCTTAACTGATCCTGTTCTAAAGTTATAACAATACTTATGATACTAACCACATTAAAAGGTGTAAAATCTTTAAAGGAATAAAACGACAAGTTTTCTGTTGCGAACTATTAACTAATAACAACACGCATTATTCTCACAGGACATTGGCGCAATCGCCATTTTTTTTGTATAATTTTTATAATAATATTAAACTACCGTACATAGTTATTTTTACTTGACATTGGCAAAATCATTGATTATTTCGATGGAGCCATAACATTTAAAAGAAGAACAACACGCTATAGTCGCGGGCATCGCGGGTATGACTAATCTTATCCAGTGGAAGAAACGGAATACTATACCTTTATGTACCTACACTATGGAATAAGGCAACAGTCGCTTTTAGTCCTACTTTTTTCCCCGTCATTATGGAATGGACCAATACGAAAAGTGTCTTAATGTAAAAATATATCTGTAGTTATTCGTTAAACTTACATGTATTTTTTGAGTTGAGAGCACTTGTACCTTTTTAGACCCATAAAAAATCCCAATAACTAAAATTATGCCTTTAGTGAATTGCGCCCCTAGTGCAATAAAAAAAACGACGTTAGGAGACTGCTAGGGATGTCCTTTTGACATGTTCTGTAATCGGACACTCTGAAGCTAATGGTGCAATAAAAACATAAGGGCATAACTCGTCTTATTCCGTTTTTCACTGTAGGCACTGATATTTCAAGTTCAGAAACTGTACTCAAACAAGACAAAAATTTTAAAAAAAAAGAAGGTAAAGTGAAATGTTGATTCAAAAGATAATCCAAGGACAAACGATAATACCATAATTATGTTTCTGTAATATTGGATATTATATAATAGGAGAAATGACAACAACATACGCACAAAGAAAATGTGCAATAAGACTGACGACGAAAAGGAAAAGTTTATTTATCAAGTCCTGACCTATAGAGTTTGAATGTAGAAAACGAATTCGACTGTTTTACCGATATTCATCGTGGAAGGTTCAGAATTAATGACATTTTACTAAAGCATGTACAGTACTAAAATCCGAATGGACTCCTA